CGCCAAAAGAGCGGGAGGGAGGGGAGAAAAGGATGTTTCAGGCGGCAAACCCCTTGTCTGTTGCCGGTAGAACGCCAAACAGACCTCACTCTCTTCAGCCAGAAGGGAAAGATTTTTAAATTCCTCTGATAAATACAAGTAAATGATTCCATGGGAACCAGAGTGCGGGTAGAAGCTGCCAGGTTGTACAACTGGGGCTTCTGGGAAGAAACATCTAAGACGGCAATTTGACCCTCTGTTGTGTATGTAAAAACCAGTGATTGAATAAATACCTGAATGTCTGCCGGTCCCCTAGAAGACTGACAACAGAGGGAGGGAGTGGGGGGGGGTTGTGTTGTGGGAGTGGGGCCTCAACTGAGCTTCAGTTCCTTGAACAACCTGCTTTGTGTTTATTTCTATAGCTGAATCTTTGGTTTCCCTAAGATGCTTCAGGGCTTAGCTAGGGCTTTAGCCTTTGTGATACAGATTGCCCGGCACCCGGCTTTTGCCTTAGTGGGTGTTTATACATTCCAGGGGTGAGCGGTGCCCTTCTTGAAGCCCCAACACATGACAGAGAGAAGCTTTATCGGCATATTAAAAAATCAGTAAGATAAGACTTCATCAAGGTAGAATTACATCTGTAGGTCTCAAAACACCAATATTAAGAATAGTTCCTTGCTACCAAAATCTTAGACAAAAAAGATCAGCAATCTGTACAGTAACTTCTGGTGACTTATCAGCTACGAGAAACCTAATTGCATTATCAGAATTGATCCTGGACAGTAAAGGCTTAATCAAAAGTAGAAGAAGAAGAAGAAGAGATTGGATTTATACCCCGCCCTTCACTCGGAGTCTCAGAGCGGCTTACAAACTCCTTTCCCTTCCCCTCCCCACAACAGACACCCTGTGAGGTCGGTGGGGCTGAGAGAACTCTGACACAAGCTGCTCTTTCAGGAACAGTACTCTGAATCAAGCTGCTCTTTCAGGAACAGCTGTGCCAGAGCTTGTGACTGACCCAAGGTCGCACCAGCAGCTGTGTGTGGAGGTGGGGAATCAAACCCGGTTCTCCCTGATTAGAGTCCGCACACGTAACCACTACACCAAACTGGCTCTCAAGGTAGAATTACATCTGTAGGTCTTAAAGTAGTCGGAAATGTAAGTGGAGGGGGCAGCGTAGCACAATATGGTCTCAAGCGAGTGAACAATTGCAAATCCTGTCACGTTTCGGGATGCCTCTGTATCCACCCGAGACCCAAGGTGAGGGAAAAACATTACATCTGGCGAGCATAAAGGCTCTGTGTTGCAGCAGGATCACATGATTAGAGAAGTATTGCGTCATGCTGTTTGGTACATATCTGAGGCCGAGGGAGCCCAACATATGGTTATCAGTGTTATCCCGGCCAGTTTGCTGTAGCGGTTAGGAGCGTGGACTGTAATGTGGGAGAACCGGGTTTGATTCCCCACTCCTCCACATGCAGCTGCTGGTGTGACCTTGGGTCAGTCATAAGTTCTTTCAGAGCTGTTCTCTCAAGAGCAGGCCTCGAAAAATCTCTCTCAGCCCCACCGACCGCACAGGGTGTCTGTTGTGGGGAGGGGAAGGGAAAGGGATTGTAAGCCACTCTGAGACTCCTTCGGGTAGTGAAGGGCGGGGTATAAATCCAATCCCTCCTCCTCTGAGAAGCAGTAACTCTGGTCAGGAGTCCCAACTCATGAAGTAAACATTCATCTTGCCGAGAAAGGGGATGGTTTGGTCAGAGCACATCCCATTTCTGATTGACGGGCTCTTTGGATCCTAACGGTATATAATATTGGTGATGGCGATTGTTCGGGGCTCCAAGGCCCCTTGAGGCCTTGGAAGGAGTCAGAAGACATTCCTGATAAACATATTTACAAGTGCATTAATTTTCTAATAGGTAATTGGGTGGGGGTGTATGATGAATGCTAAATAGCCATTTGCTTGAATACTTTTGCATTATGGGTTTAAATTTTCAATAAATGGTTTTAACTATGGAACAGTTTAACTATGGAACAGAGAGAGAGAGAGAGAGAGAGAGACCCCATATATATAAATATATATAGAGAGAGGACCATATACATATATATATAGTCCTGCCAGTTTCCATCCCCTGCCCTTACCGAACTGGGTGGGAATGGGAGTTTTAGGAAAGGTTCCTGCACTCCTAATTTCCCCAACAGTTTGTCTATGTGAAACAATAAATGCCTAATAGAAACAAATTACGCTCGGCTGGCTTTGCGACTCCTCCTCCGTGCACTCTGGGAAACCCACCAATATGCCTATGTTTATCATTTTAGGTGCACAAAAAGGACTCTGGCTTTTGGCGGGATTTCGGCTTTGGGATGACGTGTCAATATCGAACAGACTTCTTGACTGTTGGTAAGATGCATCCAATGTAAATCTCTTCAGTTTTTCTCTGGTTTTGGCCCAACGCCCTCTACTGTTGGTCTTGTTGACAATGTGTGTGTGTGTGTGTGTGTGACTGCTTCCTGCTCAACAGCATGTGATTCTTACTGTAGTTTTAAAGCTGGAGTAGATCCTTGCTCTCAGGAAGCGATTTAACCCTGGGTTTTTAAACACAGCCGGAAAAATACGTGCATTATTCACCCACATGACTTCTCGGTCATTTCAGTCTTAGCATTCAAAAAAGCGAGCACAAATTAATGGAACGGCATAGCTCTTTGATATTCTTCAGCACCATCTTGTGGCTTATCCCGGATATCATTCTCCACAGAATAGCCTGGATTTTTCATTTCATTGGTTAATAGTGTACTGTTTTGCACCGCAATACAGTAATATACAGCAGCTTTGAAAAAGTGTTCTTTTTATCTTTCTTGAGCCCCTTCGATCTCTGTGGCACTTGCTCACACTCCCCCTGAAAGCAGTCTGCCGTTTGGGAATGCCCTTTCAATCTACTTTATCCCCAAGATGCTTTTAATCCCTGTGTTAAGACTATTCCGTGCACCTTGGTGTTTAGTCATGCCGGCCACATGACCACGGAAACATCTTCGGACAGCGCTGGCTCTTCGGCTTGGAAATGGAGATGAGCACCGCAACCCTAGAGTCAGATTCGAGTGGCTTTCGAGCAAGGGAACCTTTACCTTTACCTAAGAGTATTCATTGGTTAAGATCATGAGGGGCTTTGGAGTGGGTGGTCTCCGATATGCTGATGACACCCAGCTTTGTGTCTCATTAGCCAGGCCTCCAGAGGCAACTGTGAAAGTCTTCTTCTTCTGCCACGGAAACAGATCAAGTTGGGTTGCCGTGTTAATTTGTCCGTAGCAGCAGAAAGGAGCAAGAGTCCAGGGGTACCTAAAATAACAAAATCTGTTGTGATAACTTCATGCCAAGTAAAAATGCCCATAGCCATATTTTATGTTCCTAAAGTAACAGAATGGCTTTCAATCTGGAAAAGAAAAAAGAAGTGCTAATGCATTATTTTTTTCAATTTTTCCAAAAATTTCCGTTTCCTTGCGGAAAAAAAAACCCCGAGTTTTTTTCCGAACTTCAAAATTTCCGGAAATTTTACATCTCTAGTCACGGCTCGCTTCTTCAGATAACCTTCAGCAGGTTTTGGCTGTGCTTAGTCTAATATCAATTTTGTTAACTGTGTGCTTTTCTATGGCTTGTTGCCGTAATAAATGCCTGCCTGCCTGACTGTGTGCTTTAAATTTTGAGTGCTTTTTAATTTTGTAAATATGTGTTGTTTTAATCTGTTTCGTTCTTTTTAAGTAGACTGTTTGTGTCCTAGCAGCCCGGTGATTCCATCGCGAGCCACCTTGAGTCAGAAAAGATAAGGCAGGATAGAAATGTTTTAAATGAGGAATTAAAAATTAAATCCATCTTTGCTTATGAACACATGAATGGCGTCTGCAGCAGTGTCCAGGAGTGTCAGTTTCAATGGCCCTAGTTTTTTAAGTGTTTCACAACAGAGGGTAACAGTGGAATAAAAACCCCAATGAAATAATTCCAGTTGATTTACACAAAATGAGCTGCTTGCCAAACTCCCAGTTAAACCGATGGCATATGAAATGTTTTGATGCATCTTAGGTGCGATAACGGAATCTTTAACTCCATCCTGCAGCGTGAAACCATATTTTATCTTTTCCCCCATTTCTCTCTTTATTTAATAAGAAGTAAAATTAGAGGTTCTGCTGATGCAGTCTACTTGAGAAGGGAGTGTGACCTCTTGTCAAACTCGCTTTCAATTTTATTGCTCGCTTGCCATAGAAATTGAGAGGGGGATCTGGAGAGTGTGAATTCTAAAGGCTTTCGCTTTCAGATGCTTTGAAGGAGATTGTAGATAAGCATGCCTGGGAACAGTCACCGGCCTTGATTCTCAGTTTACAGTATCTGGCTTGATTTTCAGTTTACAGTGTCTGGCTTTTGTCTACGTGATGGGGGGCTGTCACCAAGGTGGGAATACATAACTGTTGGTTTGGGCGGGTGGAATACCTGGGGGTGATTGGCTTGTAACTTTTTAGGGTCCCTGTTTGAACCTTGTGTATCCATTGAGAGCCAGTTTGGCGTAGTGGTTAAGTGCGCGGACTCTAATCTGGGAGAACCGGGTTTGATTCCCCACTCGTCCACTTGCACCTGGCTGGATGACCTTGGGCAAGCCGTAGCTCTGTCAGAGCCGTTCTTGAAAAGAGCAGTTTCTCTCAGAGCTCTCAGCCCCACCTCCCTCAGAAGGTGTCTGTTGTGGGGAGGGGAAGGGAAAGGAGTTTGTAAGCCGCTCTGAGACTCCTTTGGGTAGTGAAGGGCGGATTATAAATCCAATCTCCTCTTCTTCTATTGATTTCGCACCTCCATTTTCAGTTCTAACACAGCCAATGAACAGGCTGGATCCTATCAATGTCTCAATAAACTTTTCGTTCTTCTGAATGACTGTTGTTGGGAACTGATTTCTCCAAGAGCCTTGACACCTCTCATATGAACTGATAAAACCTCTCTTCTCATCTTGATTTATGCCCTAGTTCAGGGGTCTCCAACCTGGTGCCCGTGGGCACCTTGGCACCCACAGGTATCTTTCCTGGTGCCCACCAAGTAGGTTCTAGAAAGTAGGTGGATCCAGGTGGGGTTTCTGTCTGGCAGGTTTTCTGACTGTCCACTGGAGTTTTTTTCTCTCTCTCCATAATTTATTTATAAATTTTCAAGTGATAGTAATTACAATATAAATGACACACTACATTGGAGTCTTATAGGGGGGGCTCTGCAACTTATCTGGCTGCTTTTTGTTCCTCATGGCCCGACTGAGGGCTGCTGGGAGAAGGGGGCGGGGCTTGTTGCATGTGCCCGCCCCCTGAGCTCCTTACTGCCGGAGCTCCACTCCTGTGCGCTCCCGCAGGAAATGACCCCTTGTAATTACAATATAAATTACACATTACATTGGAGTCTTATAGTCAGTCTTGTTATCTAACCACGCATACATTTTTGTCCATCTTTTTAGATATAATTGTTCATCTTTTCCTTGCAAAACAACATTTAGTCTATCCATTTCAGCTAGTTCCAACAGTTTCTGAATTAATTCATCTTTTGAAGGGAATCTCTCATTTCCCCAACCTTTAGCCACTAATATTCTAGCAGATGTTAAAATATAGGTCAGTATATACATTTCGTTTTGGTTATATCCATCAGGGATAATATTTAACAGAAATATCACTGGTGTTGAAGGTAATTCAATTCTCATTATTTCCATTATAATCCTATGAACTTTATGCCAATTGGAGATTTGATTGGCTGTGCAGATTCTTTCTTTAAAAGGTTGCTTTGGCAGCGCTGGGATCTTCGCTGTGTGACTGCTGGAAATCTTCGGCAGCCATTTTGTGGCTGGCTCCACCTCTGGCAGCCATTTTGTGGCTGGCTCCACCTCTGGCAGCCATTTTGTGACTGGCTCCACCTCCCGCAGCCATTTTGTGGCTGCGTGTACCCTGCCGTGTCAAGATTCCAAAGGTGGCTGCAAGCTCAAAAAGATTGGGGGGGACCTCCTGCCCTAATGTATTTGCTTCAGGAGGTACATTCTACCTGTGTCATCTTGATATTTTTTTTCCTCCTAGGAGGATTTGACCTGGAAGTCAAAGGCTGGGGTGGAGAGGACGTCCACCTCTACCGGAAGTACTTGCACAGTGACCTAGTGGTGGTCAGGACCCCGGTGCCGGGCCTCTTCCACCTCTGGCACGAGAAGCACTGTGCCGACGAATTGACTCCGGAGCAATATCGCATGTGCATTCAGTCTAAAGCCATGAACGAGGCGTCTCACTCCCACCTCGGGATGCTGGTCTTCAGGGAAGAGATCGAGGCCCATCTGCGCAAGCAGGCCTACCGGACTAGCAGCGAAGCAGTAGGTTGAAGCAGTCTGCGGCGCAATACGAAGAACTCTACTGTGCTACGGACCAGCATCGTTCTCAAAGCCTTAATTAACTCAGTTTGGTTTTTTTAAAACAAATGCAGTGCCTCTCTCCCTCGTGAAGTTGAGTTCAAGATCTTGTATGGCCTGTTTAAGTACATTTCACACTAGATCGGGCACTTGAGTGAAAGGAAGCATTTCTACTGGTGCACTTGGGGATATACAAGAGCAGAATGTATTCACTCTCCCGCCTCTGTTGTTTTTTCTCCCCTCAAATGTTTTTCACTTTTCAGATTTGCATTACCTGACAGTGAGAATCCGCAAGCAAACAAAACCCGTCTTCTCCACTGCCTACAGTTTCTCTGTACTGCTCATTTCTTTGTAGGTTTTTTTTAAAAAAGAAAGGGACCGTATACGTATAAACTCCACGGAGAAAGAATAAAACAGGCGAAAAAGCCGGTGAAGACGCGTAAACAGAAACACGGTGGTATGTTGTGCAATTAGACTCGCTGAACTCGCCTTATTAACTGTCAGGTACATCAATTGAAAATAAATTTCAGTTTTTTTAAAAAAAGAGGCTACAGAACAGTTAACAAGAATGTGGTCATGCCGTTCTTTATCGGACTGTAAATGAATTGAGCTCGTATGCTATTTGCTTAATCCTAGCTGCTAGCCAAATACCTTTTTTTTTTTTGCATGTTTCAGGATGTACAGAACGAGAGAGACTGTCTTGGACACAAAAGTTTTCACTTCACTGCCTCGTTGTGACACTTCCGATAACCTTTGTTCCTCAAATGAAGGTTGGAGCTTGTCTCCAAGGTAAAAGGGATCTGGAGAGATGACGTTTAAAGATTAGATCGGTATCCACTTTTTGACTCTGTCTGCCTGGGTCTAGTTTTCTTGTCATTTTGCTTCCAGCAGAGGGCACAGGATTGCCTCTTGCGCAAGCCCCGTTGAAACGAAGGGTAGTTTCCCGGAAGCATAGCTGTTCTGCAGTCATCCCTGTCTGTTTTGTACGGGGCTTGCAAAGGAATCGTTGGAACCGTTGTGCCCGTTTTTGTTCACCGGCAACAAAAAGATAACAGCTCTGAGTTCTGAACAACTGTTTACTGTTTGCAAAGAGTTCTGGGTGTCGTTCCCTTTTTAACATATAGTTCTGCCTTTATGTAACATTATGGAGAACAGTGTAATGTGTCTGAAACACGGGGAGAATGGAATGCAAGTCGGCTTGCCCTGTTCTCTTTATTAAATAAATTGAATACCTGTATATTTTAATTGTTTTGACTTGAGGCTGCTCATTTGAGGTGGTGAAACCCATGTGCCTGCGCTCCCGAAGACAGCTGGGTACTTGCAAATGGCAACAGATTGCTCTAGTTACGGGATCGTTCTGCATGGTGTACGTGGGACGGATCCGTTTCAGTGTTTTGCTTAATAGAGGCAAACCCATTCCAGCATTTCCCAGTTCAAGCTGGCGGGCATATTCAATATTGCAGAGCAAATTGCCTCCCAGCTGCTCCC